AGAAAAACCTGTTAAAGATGCTACTGGTGATCAGGTTAAAGCCTATGACAAATGGGTCAAGGCTGATGAGCGCGATATTACATTCTTGCCTCTATGGCGAATGTTTTGCAACATCAACATCAGTCTATGAGGTCTGCTTATGACATGCTCGAAAGTCTCAAAGAGATGTTCGGTGAGCAAAATAGTGCGGCTAAGCGGACATCCATGAAAGCCCTTTTGAACACCAAGATGGCTGAAGGATCATCGGTCAGGGACCATGTTCGGAAGATGATGGGTCTTCTAAATGAACTGGAGGTCCTTGGAGTTGTGATTGATAAGGAATCTCAAGTTGAGATGGTCCTGCAAACTCTGCCTGACAGTTTTCAACAATTTCGCTTGAACTATAATATGAACAAAATGGATTTGTCACTGGTGAAATTGTTGAATGAGCTGCAAGCGGCAGAATCTATCATCAAACAACAAGCTCCAGTTGTGGCACTGAATGTTGAGAAAGCGGTAAGAAAAAGAAGAAGGCTAAAAAGTTTTTGGCACCTGGAGGTGCGGCTGGTGTGGAAAAGCCCATAGGAAAGTGCTATCATTGCAAGCAACCCGAGCATCACAAAAAGCAATGATATGCCTATCTGAAAAGGTTGAATAAGCAAGGTAATTCAAATTTAAATGTCGTTGAAACTTGTTAAGCGGCTGTCTCTACCATATTTTGGTGTGTAGATTCAGGCGCCACTAATCATATATGCACTACTTTGTAGGGGTTTCAGGAAACGCGACGGCTAAGTAAGAATGAAGTTTGTGTTTTTCAAGCCAATGGCAAGCCAGCACCAGCTTTAGCATTAGACGATATTAGAGTTTTGTTCAGTATTGATAGAGTTTTAGTTTTGAAAGATGTTCTCTATGTACCTTCTATTAGAAGGAATTTGATTTCGGTTTCGAAAATAATAGATGTTGGTTATAATGTTTATATTGCTAATAACTCTGCTGTTATTAAGTTTAATAAATATTTTATCTACACTACTGCTAGAGCACATGACCTTTTTATTCTTGATATATCTCCTCATATGCTGCAACAACCAAAAGAATTTAATAACATTAATCTACCACATAAAAGAAAACGTATTTCTGAATTGAGCCAAACTTATTTATGGCACTTACGTCTAGGTCATATAAATCTAAATAGGATTTCGAGATTGGCCTTTGATGGACCTTTGAATTCATTGAAAGTGGAGGCATTTCCAACATGCGAATCCTGTTTAGAAAGTAAAATGACCAAGAGACATTTTTCCTCAAAAGGAAATAGAGCCAGCGATAAGTTAGAACTAATTCACTCTGATTTTTGTGGCCCTATGAATATACAAGCAAGATGTGGTTTTGAGTATTTTGCGACTTTCACATATGATTACTCAAAATATGGATACATTTATCTGTTGCACCGTAAGTCTGAATGCTTTGAGAAATTCAAAGAATTTAAGACGGAAATGGAGAAACGACATGATAAATATATCAAAACATTGCGATCTGATCGTGGTGGTGAATACCTTTCTGCAGAATTCATTAAATACTTATCAGATTGTGGAATTAAATCTCAATTATCTGCTCCAAGAACACCACAACAAAATAGTGTGGCCGAAAGAAGAACTAGAACCCTTATGGAAATGGTTAGATCAATATTAAGTTATTCCGATTTGCCTTCTTCCTTTTAGGGATATGCTTTAGAAACAACAAATTACATTCTAAATTTGGTTCCTTCAAAGTCAGTACCTTCAACTCCAACAGAATTGTGGACTGGGCGCAAGCCAACTTTATGGCACATTCGGATTTGGGGTTGTCCAGCACATGTGCCGAAAGGGAAAGCGGATAAGTTGGAATCGAGGATAGAAGTATGCATTTTTATTGGATATCCAAAAGGAACTAAAGGCGATTTTTTTATTGTCCCAAAGAAAATATGATAATTGTTATGACAAATGCCAGATTTTTAGAAGAGGACTATTTAATGAACCATATTCCTATAAGTGAACTAGTTTTACAAGAATTAAGTAATGGAGTAACTAATGCATCATCTCTGGAAGCCAGTATTGACATACCACTGCATTATCGTAGTGGGAAAAATGTCAATAGGCAGCAGAATGCACAAGAGCGATTGCCTGGCATCTCACTACTCCAAAGCAGTGGGAGTAATGTTGAGCAACCTCAGATTGTTGAGCAACCTGAAATTATTCTGCAGCCTGCACTCCAGGAAGAAGTTAATGATATCCCAGCACCGCAAGGTGTGGAGGATAACATAGAGGCTTCAGTTCCAGAAAATGATGTTGTGATTCAGCAACAAAATCAAACTGCACAGTGGGAGAATTATTAAAAAACCTCTCCGGTTTACGTTCTTGGGGGAATCTTATGATAGAATCCCTGAAGAGACTAATACAGAACCTCTTAATTATGACGAAGCACTACAGGATACAGACGCTGATAAATGGGTTGCTGCTATGAAATCTGAAACGGAGTCCATGTACTCCATACAAGTCTGGGATCTTGTAGAATCACCTACTGGAGTCAAACCCATTAGTTGTAGATGGATCTATAAGAAAAAGAGAGGAGTGGATGGAAAAGTGCAAACTCTAGGCTTGTTGCAAAAGGATTTACTCAAAAAGAAGGGATCAATTATAAGGAAACCTTTTCGCCAGTAGCCATGCTTAAATCCACTAGGATTCACTTATCCATTGCTGCTCATTACAATTATGAGATTTGGCAATTGGATGTCAAGACGACATTTCTTAATGGATGTCTTGATGAGTGCATCTATATGGCACAACCGGTTGGTTTCATAAAAAATGGCAATGAGCACATGTTGTGTAAATTAAAGAAATTCATTTATGGATTGCAACAAGCTTCTAGAGCATGGAATACTTGTTTTGACACATCGATTAAAACCTTCGGTTTTAATCAATGTAAAAATGAGTCTTGTGTCTATAAGAAGTGGGATGGAGATAAAGTTACATTTTTGGTTTTGTACGTGGATGATATTTTGCACATAAGAAATAATGAGAGCATGTTGAATTCAGTAAAGGAATGGTTTTCCTCGCGTTTTGAAATGAAAAACTTGGGACAAGCGGCACATATCCTTGGGATCAAGCTTATTCGAGATCGCAAGAGAATGATATTATGCTTATCCCAAGCACTTTATATTGATACTATTCTCACCAGGTTTAGCATGAAAGATTACAAGAAAGGCTTTTTCCCTTTTAGACATGGAATCTCTCTGTCAAAATATCAGTCCCCGAAAACGACTGATGAGATAGAAAAGATGAAGGCGGTCCCTTATGCTTCTGTCGTAGGGAGTCTCATGTATGCTATGCTATGTACTAGACCTGATATCTGCTTTGCTATTGGCATGGCTACTAGATTTCAGTCTAACCCTGGATGAGAACACTGGGCTGCCGTTAAACATATAATCAAGTACTTGAAAAGGACTAGGGATTATATGTTGATTTATCACTCAGGTGATCTTGCACCCATTGGCTATACTGATTCAGATTTCCAGTCAAATAGAGATTCTAGAAAAGCTACCTCATGATATATTTTTACCTTAGGAGGTGGAGCTATAAGTTGGAGGAGTATCAAGCAATCATGTGTTGCTGATTCCACCATGGAAGCCGAATATGTGGTTGCATCTGAGGCAGCTAAAGTGGTTGTTTGGCTCGGGATCTTTCTAAAAGAGCTTAATGCAGTTCCTTCGGTTCAAGCACCAATTGAACTTTATTATGGAAATAGTGGTGCAGTTGCAAACTCGAAGGAACCAAGAAGCCATAAAAGGAGTAAGCATATTGAGCATAAATATCACTTAATTCGGGACATAACTCAGAGAGGTGATGCAAGAGTGTTGAAGATTGCGTCAGAGGGCAGACCCGTTTACAAAGAGCTTGCCACAAAAGACTTTTGACAAGCATGTAGAAGGAATGTGTATTAGAGTTGTAGACGCATGGTTATGAGTTTAAGTGGGAGATTGTTGGGATATACTATTAACCATGCGGTTTAGACATAGTATTGTATTTTATTATTTATGGAATAATTATTTATTTAATTTATTCAATTCAATAAAGTACTATTTTAAATAGATCATTTGTTACATATGTGTCCTTTAGTTATGTAGTAGACAATTTAGTGTATGGAGTCTTAGCTCATGCACAAAAGATTAAATTGTCGGTTCTCATAATTAATAAACTATGTTCACATTCGAAGATATTATTAGGCAAAATATCTTGATGATTGTAGCACAAGATTATAGTATAATTTGTCTTGATTATGGGAGTAATTTTACTCCGACTTTTTGTGCTAGTATGCTTAGTGTATATTGAACGGACCAAGTAGAGAAAAGATATTTTTGTACTGAATATATATAAAATATTTTCTCTAATTCATTGAATGAGCTTATACTCCTAATCTTGATATAATTATTATGATCAATGTGATTTATTTATTATTTGGTTAATCAAAAGGTACAGTTATATTCAGAGTTAGTGTATGCCTGATAGATTGGACAATAACAAATAACATTTGTAAAATAATAATTAGTTGATAGAATCTATGATTTGTTTTTGAGTTTGATGATACCCTTTATGTAAGCTTATAAATTTTTATGTGAAAACCCGACCGGTGAATTTTATATCCGTCACATGAAATAGTTTAAGCGGAATTATAAAGGATTTAATTAGTTGATTAAATTAAATTGTCAGTGATTTAATTTAATTAATTGGTATTTGGGATCCTAACATGGGGTGGGGGAGTTAAAATAAGTGTTAGTGAATTTTTGAAATTCATATTGAGGAGTTCAATTGCAGTTTTTAGTGGAATAAACTGCAATTAATTATAGTAGGAATTAATTCATGCAAAATTTCGAATTAATACTATAATTAGGAGCCTCTTATTATTTCTATGGTCCCTTCTATACCTAGTATGAACCTGGACTGACTTGGGTAAAAAGTGACTTGGGAGAAAAGTCATCTGGTAGAGTTAGGTAAGATTATATTTGCACAAGCAGAAACCTACACGTTTTTTGAGCCCTTTTTGGGTGAAAAATGAGTCTACATAAGGAAGACATTTTTCACCCAATAACTCACTTTTAGAGTTGTATTGTTCTTGCCCACTCAAAGCAATTTCGTCCAAGGTCTCACTATGACCATAACAGAAGACCGCAACCCTGGATTCTTGCTCTGTGGAGGACCTGTGCAACGAAGACTGCAGCCCTGGATTCTTGCTCTGTGGAGGACCTGTGCAACGATTTCAAGAGGTTAGTGATTTCTAATCTCGTAATTGTATCATTATCTAGTTTACATGTATTTGATATCTGAACCGTATGCTTGCTTTCGCTGTGCATGTTCTAACATTATATACTCCATATGTATTAAGAAGTATATGTAATACGTACAAAAAATAAATTTAAAATAATTACTAGTATTGAAGGTTTGCTATTATAGAATTCACAATCTATAAAGTTCAAATTCTAGATCCATAATGTCTTATATTTCTAATTTATTTTAAGGTGAAATAACGGTATTTCCATTTCCTAAGAACTCGATGTTCAGTGTATCATCATCCTTGCCAACTCCTATGTGGCTAATATTGATCTTTCAATCAAATCTTTTGTAAGATGAAGAATTAACTTCCTTTTAGTTATATTTTTATTTCATATTCATTTAATTTATATTACGTGTTTTATTTACTTTTAAAAATTGGATGACGCATTTGTCTAAAACGTTCAACGAATCAAATGATACCGAACCAAAAGCCAATTTGAAAATATATTATGAAAGACCTGCTAGAAAACAAATATGTAACTTTTTTTATTTGATTCATATAGAAAAGTGACTGCCTTTCTCTTTTTTGAACTCTCACGGCCTTGATGAGTTCAGTGGATTGTGACAAATCCAACTATATTCTTAAGGGCAAGTTCAACCTTAGGTCAANTATTATGTCTATTATATATTAACATACAAAAAATATACATTTTATTTTTGGGAGCGACTGTATTAAGTAGTTTTCCCTATTCTTAGCCGTGGCAACCAATGAACCATCCAGAATTTTTTGCATTAACCAACACCAAATCATTTCATAAATACATAAAACAAGAAAATTAAAACAAATACAAGTAGTTTTGGCTTTCCACATACGAATTCCCTCATTCGTGTATTTTTTGACTCAATATATCATCCCACACTTGAAACTATATGGTAATTAAAAGACTACAGGAAAAAGAAAAAAAAATTCAACGTGATAAAATTTCACCCTCGACAAGACTAGGACTCAGGGGCAGAAAGATTTAATCAAACCACTTCTATAACTTGGGATAGTGAAGTGCCTAAGATAACGAACTTCCTCTCTAATATATTCCTCACAAAGAAAACTCCTTGAAAATTTATCTTCGGCATACCTTTTACAATCATGCACAAACACATCAGTTTCTCCACTTTCTTTATTCCTAGCCAATAATCCAGCAGTATAAATCACTTTCATTCGCCCAGGTTGATCAAATGAAGAACCTGTTGGTGCATCTACCATTATCACATCCCACTCAATTTCATACACTTGTTTTGGCAAATTTTTTAAGGCAAGTGGACACTTAGAATTTCTTGGATCGACCACAACTTTGCAAGAATCTTCCCTTCTACCAATATTTAGAAGTTCAGTGGCTTGATCAAGTTTAGTTTCATAGGTATAATGGTAAGCTTCTATTTTGGTAGGTACTTCTTTAGTAATTTTCTCGATCCAATCTTTATCTTCTTCGATAAAGATAGTTCGTCCATTATAATTGAATGAACTCCACATTAAGCTATCAAATCCAAGTCCAAAGATCAAGAAATTGCATGGTGATTTCTTCTCAAGTACCCTAAAAGTCATTGAAATTTCGTCGTGTTTTTGTTGGGGTGTAATATTGGTAGCTGCATAGTGGAAAAGTGCTTCAGCAAGAGATGGTGGAATTTTGTTGTATGTTGAGGAAGTTGATGAGTTTATTGGTAGGTTGTTTAGCTTGAAAGATGGAGAATTTGTTCTTAGTATCAAATACAAGAGAAATATGAAGAACATACAAGATAATATGAGCTTATTAATAATCATAGTGTGCTTGTTTTTCGATGTTGCTTGGTGTTCTTTCATGGTAATAGAGACTAGATGAGGAATTTGAGAGTATTTGGAGCTAGATGATTTTTTTTAAAAATAGTTTTGAAATGGAGAGGGGAAAGAATCCTCAATTAAACATTAATCTCACATGATTTGTTTCTTAATTTGAAATGAAAAAGATGCACTGTTTTTGCCCATTTACATCCAAATGCATTAATCAAGCTCAAATTCAATACTATAGTGCATTTATAGTTATACTAGTTAAGGAGAAACCGAGAACCCTAACAAATTAATTAATAACGTGTTTGTTATGACATATAAACTATTTGGAGCAAGCCATGTCTAGGAGCAAAATATCAGGGATATTTCAGTAGTAGACAGATTAACGTATGACGAGAATTGCTAGTCCAATACCAGTAATACTCTTAAGTCTTAACTATTAACTCCATTGCAAAACTTTAACCCAAAAAAAAAGAATGGTGAGTTGTTAATTAGGTCTATTAACCCGTTTAGTCGTAGGAGAAGTATAGTTTTATTTTTAATATCTAGGCTTTTTAAATTTAAAATTCTGTTGATGATATGAATTGAACTTAAAGAAAAAAATGAGGATTCATATCACCGACCCTAACTTGTTTGAAATTAAGGCGTAGTTATTATTGTTGTTGTTGAGATATTTTATTTTGTTGAAGATTTATTCTGCAGATTTTCTGCTAGTTTACTGTTTTCAAGCGGCTATCCAAAGCCTTATGGTTCATAAAATTAGAAGCGATAACATTTAGTGGGCGTTTGTACATAAGAATTGTAAAATTCCGGAAAAAAGTGAAAAAAAAAGTTCAAGTGAAAATGGTATTTGAAAACTAAAGTTGTGTTTGGACATAAATTTAATTTTGGGTTGTTTTTGAAATTTTGTGAGTAATATGAGTGAAAATTTTGAAAAATAGCTTTTTGGAGTTTTTTAAATTTTCGAAAAATTCCAAAATTCATCTTCAAGTAAAAATTTAAAAATTTATGGCCAAACACTGATTTCGGAAAAAAAGTAAAATTTTTCTTATGTCCAAACGGGCTTTTAGTCATACATCTTTTTTAGTTTAAAAATCCACAAATATGGAAAGATTTAAGGGGCTGCATTATTACATTCAAATAAACAAATGAATATGGAGTCAACAAATTCTGTCTTCCCACCAAATAAGAACTTTCACAAATCACTGTTACAGCAGCATTACAAGATTGAAACATATGCATTGATAAAAACAATAAAAAAATGCATTGATCAATCCAGCCTAATTTTCAGCAAATTACAGAACTAAAAAGATATTGGAATCCAACAGACATAATTAGCTCGTTGATGACCCATTGCTAACCTGAAATAACACAGAATGAAGCATATCAGAACAACTCAATTCATCTTTGTGTAGCTATGACGAAGCACAAACACAAGCATTTGATGAAGTATATGTATGAAACTTCTATGTATACTTTCCAATATGCTGCTTGAGTATGATATAAATAATAGTAATGCCGAGTGGACAGTATAACTTTTGTATGCAAGATGCAAGTTACTGAAAGTTGTTATGCAAGACATGAGAGGCTACTAAAATTTTTTTTCCATATCAGATGTAACAAAGCGGTGCTGAAATGTCTTACCAGCTTTAATTAGTTGTCTGTACTTCTTCTTCGATATAAGAACTTGGAGATTATCACATCTAGTGGTTTCTTCTATTTCTCTTTTAATATCCATAGCTGAATCCCCAACAGAGTCCAAGCAGTCTTCCACTTCAATAAGTTGGAGTGTTGGAATATCGGCAAAGCAAGGAGGGATCTCCTCGACCTTCTATAACTAGCTTCTCAAGAATGGGAAAGGATTCCTCAGAAGCATTCCATCCTCTCATGTAACACGATAGTAATGAGTAGTATTTGAGTGAAGGGAACTCGACATCTGTGGCATCCTATCGGTTTTCCCCCCAAAACTGTCTTAGTTAGTTTCAGACTCTCAAGCTTTCGCAATCTTGCAATGTTTGAAGCCATTTCTTCCGTCACACAAATTCCGTGAATGGACAACTGCCTAAGATTTGAAGGGAAGACAAAGCAACTGGCCCATCCAACTGAAGACTCGAATCCTGACTGTTGGCCCAAGTAAAGGTTAGTTTTGAAGATTGACGAAGGAAGCTCAGGCATGAACCAGGTCCATCCCTTGTGTGTATAGATACGGGCAGATTCGAGCTTGTGGGATGCACGTGAAGGAGATAAGTTTAACTTAGTATAATTGTTATCTCCTAATCGAAAATGTTGTATAATTGATAAGGAAAATGACTCCTTAATCAAAGAGAACACTATCCAAGATAACAGAGGAGTTAGAAGTTGAGATCAACTAGAACTCTTCCACCAAGGAAGAGTAGCATTAGAACTCTAATTATTTCTCCATCTACTAACTCTATATATTGCATGATGTTCTCATTCTACAGTGATGCACAAAAGCAGAAGTTAAACGTGAATTGAGAACAAAATAGCAAGGCATTTTGCAAGCAATTCGTGTGTGATTCAAGTGTGCAAACCTGAAGCTACATGAACCAGATAGAAGAACTAGTTCCAAGTGTCTGTCTTTTATTCTAGTTCAATTGTAGTAGGTGTTTTCATATTGTACCTTTCATCTTTATCTAGAGGCAATTGTAATATGTACTCATAGTATTTAAGTTAGAGTTAACTTAAAGTTGTCGCAACAATTAGAGGTTGGTTGCCACAACAGAATTAAAGTTAATCCTAGGTTTACAAAAGTATTTTGTAAATGCAGTTTTTGGCTCAGTGATTTAGTGGAGAGTTTGGAAAAATCCTACTGAGAAGTAGGTCGTAGTTTTTTCACCTTTTGCGCCAGGTGTTTTCCATGTAAAATACTTGTGTTATTTACTTTCCGCATTTACTATTTCAACAATAGTAGGTTAAGGAACACTTAGAAGAACTAGGTCCTTCGACACCACACAAATCACTCCCCTCTTGTGTGGTATTAAAGTTAAAACATCAATTGGTATCAGAGTATGTTATCCTTGAAGAGGCTAACACCTTAGGAGAAGATCAAGATGAGTGCACCACCTGGAAACTTAGAAGGTCAATCCACTACTAGGCCACCACTTTTCAACGGCCAGTATTACTCTTGGTGGAAAAACAGGATGCGAGATCACATCATAGGAGAAGACTATGAGCTATGGGATATTGTCACAGATGGCCCACTGGCTACCATAAAGATAAATGTCGAAGGAGAAGAGGTGGCAAAGACAAGAGCTGACTGCACTGCTGACGACTTGAGGAAATGGGAGAAGAATGCTAAAGCCAAGAAATGGCTTGTTTGTGGACTCGGTCCAGATGAGTACAGTAGAATCCAAAGTTGTACCACTACTAAGGAAATCTGGGACACTTTGCAAGTGGCCCATGAAGGAACACCTCAAGTGAAGAGGTCCAGATGAATACTACTATATTCTCAATATGAGAATTTCACCATGAAGGAAGGAAAAACCATCCAAGAGATGTATACAAGGTTCACCACACTGACAAATGAACTTAAGTCTCTTGGAAGGATTATTTCTGAAGAAGACAGAGTTGAGAAGATTTTGACAAGGGTTCTGCCAGTTACTTGGGAGAGCAAAATCACTGCCATTCAGGAATCAAAAAACATTGCCACTCTTAAGTTGGATGGGCTAATTGGAAATCTTACTGCTTATGAACTTAGAAGGCAAACCATGAAGATGGATGTACCCAAGAAGGAAAGGAGCTTGGTACTCAGAATGTAGAAGATGATGAAATGGCTACGATCACAAAGGACTTCAAGAAATACCTAAAGAGAGGAAAGGGTCCTTCAAGAAGTGGAAGCTACAGCAAACCAAAGGCTCCTGAAAGGCAAACCAATGAGGGATGCTACAAGTGTGGTAAGATTTATTACCACATCAAGAACTGCCTTCAATGGGAAATTGAATGGAAGAAGGAAAGAGCTGAATGAAGAAAGAGGAAGAAGGAACAGGTTCAACCCAAGAAGAACAAAGGATCAACAAAGGCTATGGTTGCTGTTTGGGGAGAAAGCTCAGATGAAAGCTCAGATGATGAATACGGAGATGAACAAGCACTTATGGCCATTGGAGAATCTGATGAGGAATCTAAGGTCCCAGTGAAGGGGAGCAGCCAAATATGGTACATGGATAGTGGCTGCTCAAAGCACATGACAGGAAGCAAGAACTAGTTCCTTTCACTTGAAGACCTCAAAGGAGGTAATGTCTCCTTTGGAAATGGGAAGAAAGGTAAGATCTTTGGGGTTGGAAAGGTAGGTAAGACTGATTCTCACTCTATTGATAATGTCTACTTGATAGATGGCCTAAAATATAGTCTAATCAGTGTATCACAACTGTGTGATAGAGGTAACTTGGTAGCATTCACCTCTACCAAATGTTTTGTGATTAATTTTACCACTGACAAGATTGTTTTGTATAGAAAAAAAGTGAACAATATATATATATATATATATTGTAGATCTGTCCACACTTTCAGAAAATGAACTCACTTGCTTAAGTGTGTTGGACAATGATCCCCTCATTTGGCACAAGAGACTTGGACATGCAAGTCTGAGTCAACTCAACAAATTAGTCTCCAAGGACCTGGTGATAGGGCTGCCTAACATCAAGTTCAAGGAAGACAAAGTTTGTGAGGCTTGTGCAAGGGGGAAGCAGGTAAGATCCTCTTTTAAATGCAAGAAAGTGGTAAGCACCACCAGGACGATGGAACTGGTCCATATGGATCTCTATGGTCCAATGAGAACATTAAGCAGAGGTGGTAAAAGATATGTGATGGTGCTTGTTGATGATTACTCTAGGTTTACTTGGACATTGTTTTTAACATCTAATGATGAAGTATTTGACAAGTTCACTTCTTTTGTTAGAAAAACTCAGAAACAACTAGGTAATCAACTTGCATCAATTAGGTCTGATCATGGCACTGAATTTGAGAATGCTAAATTTGCTGAATTTTTTGATGAGCATGGCATAGATCATAATTTCTCTGCTCCTAGGACTCCACAGAAAAATGGAGTAGTTGAAAGAAAGAATAGGACACTTGAAGATATTGCTAGGACTATGCTTCTTTCTAGTAAACTGCCCCA